ACTAACTACCTCTCTCTCTCTCTCTCTCTCTCGCCTCTGATCCTCTCCCTTTTCAATCGTCCCTCCGCTTCGCCTTCTCTCTCTCTCTCTATATATATATATATATATGTGTGTGTATGTGATTGTCTATAGGATTTTCTGCCTCTGTTCAACCTAGACTGTCTCTCGTTGGATGCGACGCGAGCATACCGCCGTCCAGGTAATTATAACTTCGCGAAATGTATTCTCGTGCCCCGGCTTTTCATCCCTTGCGACGAGGAGGCGACGATCGTTCTAATTATTTCGTTCCTTCGAGAACGGGGGGAGGGGAAGGAAGGTGTTTTCGTTTCGTTTTTTTTTCTTTTTTTTTTTCTTTTTTTTTGGTAGTAGTGTTTGAAGATTTGGAATTTTGGAGGAGAGAAGAGAGATTTGTTTGAATCGATATTGGATGGTAGAAAGAAAGTTTCGTTTTTTAGGGAGGAATAGAAGGGGGGAAAAAAAAATTGGGAAAGTTATTCGGGGACGAGAGGATGGCCACAAAGGATCCGCCATTTGCTGACGGTTCCGCCATCTTGAGGAGAGTCTCGCCATTTGAATAGCAAATTCTATCGCGTGTTCTATCGCATAATGGAGATGAATTTTTACTTTGTAACGTAAAAACGGCACGATATCCTGCGCGGTCACTTAAAATGCATCAAAATATTTTGTTCCAAAGCTGCTTCTTCTTCTTCTTTTTCCTCTTCTTTTTCTTCTTCACGGCAGAAAAATTATTTATTCCTGTCCAAGGGTTTTGGTTAAAGGCAAAGGTGTATAAAAATGTTAGATTAAAAGATGTTGGATAAAAATCTCTCCTTTCGAATTTTATCTTATATTAAAGAAAAAAACGTAATAATTGTCCAAAGAAATTCATCGAGACTCGAAAGGAGGAAGATCTTGCAATTTCAAAGAGAAACTATTTGAAACTATTTAGACGATACAAAATTAAAGTTAAAATTTTCAAGAGATCTTTCTTAAATTCTAAACGCACAAGATTCTACGTATATACTTGGAACAACCCTCGAAGAAGAAATATATCTTCGAACAAAGTCAACCTTCGACTCATCTTCCCTAAGGTCCAACCCTGTACACCGTATCAATTCAAACGCAGCCCACGTCTATCCTCCCGCTCCATAGGCCGAGCAAATTAAAAATTACAAATTCACGACGATTCAACGACGAACCGTCACGAATCGATCCTCTCGTCCGACGGGCCGTGTTTCGTTTGCCTTACCTCGACGTGTCCCTTCCATTCCCCTGGAACCCGGCCAATTCTCTCGATTCGAAGGAAGAGAACCGATCAGAAAGAGACAAGTATTATTCATTCTCTTTCTAAAAATGAGAACGAAAAATAAAATATAAAACGGAAAATTGTATTCTCGAACAATCCATTTCGATCCAAACCAAACTCGATCGAAATGTTGAAAAATAATTTCGAAGCGTCGATCGATCCAGGCCCCGAAAACCAACCAGAGAAGAAAATAATCCTCGACCTGAAAATCTCCCTTAAAAAAAGAGAAATTCAAGGAGAAAGAAAGCAGCAACAACCCTTTGGTATAAGAATAAAGACAGACCAATCGTCCCTCACAGTAGGAGGATGGAAAGCCACCCCATTGTTTGCCAGATGAAGGACGAGAAGTTCAATGCGTCGAAACCGTAGCACACCCTCTCTATATCCACCCCTCTTTTTACGTGGCAGCCATCGTCATAAAGTCAGTCGACCAAACGACGAGGTTTGTCGCTATCTACCCCCACTCCCCTCGTATCATTTCGCCTCTCCCCTCGTCTGGTTGCAAACGAGGAAGCGCGCCACGCTCTTTTTCTTCTTCTTCTTCTTCTTCTTCTTCTTCTTCTTCTTCTTCTCGTGAAACGTGAAGAGATTCGAACGAAGGAGAAGGGATCGTCGTGTTCCATCTTTCTACACGTTCGCTCGTGGATTCGCCCCACGACTCGCCCCAGCCTCCGCCGCCACGGATGGGTGGGTGCAGAGGTCGCGTTCCCGGAGTCGGCTATTTCATTATTCTATCGGGGGTGGAGGGAGATGACGCGTGAGCGTAGGGGTAGGTCGCGAGATTAAGTGGAACGTTGCGTCGACGAGAGACAAGTTTATTGATTTTTCGTAAATTTGTGTATTTGATTTTGTTTTTTGGCTATGTGATAGGTGGTTTGACTCGTTTTATAATTTTATATCCTAATTTCTAATTTATTCACAGATTATTCCCAATGAAATATTTCTTGGGAATTCGTAGATCCATCGATATTTAAAGAATTGCATTGTGTTTTATATGATAATTCTTATTCCGAGCGACGTCATCCCCCAAAAATACGCAAATTTTTTTATAAACTTGAAACATATCGGAAAATTAATTTTCACGAGTGAAAATTTACCTTGATTTGAAGGATGCGTTCTTAATAACACTAGATCAATAAAAAGATCACCGGTATATAAAAGTCTTTTCATCTCGATAACAACCATCGCGCGTTCAAATGAAAAAAGAAAAAAAAGAAGAAAAAGAAAAAAGGGGGGAGGGGGAAAAAATCACTGGCGGAAAAATGGAATTGAAAGAAAGGGGACGGATTGTTAGTATCAATTTTCTTCGGGGCAGGTGTTAGGGGAAACGGGATGGCACGATAACATCCACCGCGTGACAATAGGCGTTACTGTGTTCCGGTGGGCAGTGGTGCCGATTTGCGGTGGGGCTGGCGGCACGCTAAAACACCCCCATTGTCACAGAATCCGCGATCGATAATCCACGTAACGCAAGAGTTGCCATGCGGTCAAGCAAATCGTGGGAAACACCTTAAATCCATTTTCGGACACCGCCGCTAATCCCATCGCGGAGAAGGAAAGCAATCGAGCGATAAATGAAGAAAGACAATAATAATAATAATAATAATAATAATAGAAGCAATAATTTTTCAATGGTGAATATATAAAGACGCGAAAGTATCGATCCGATAAGATACTCTTCATTTGTAATTCACGCGTCATCTTACGATGAGAATAATTTTTGAGTTTAAAAAAAATTCTATCTATTTTTTTTTTTTTCTTTTTTCCATTTGAAATAACACGTTTCGCAACATTTTGTCTCGAGTAATCAAGAATGCATCAAGATAAATGAATTTTAGTAATAATGAAGGGAATTAAATAACCTCTCTAATCGATTACGTTATTAATACATAAAGCGTGAGGATCCGAACCTTTCAGGTTTCTTTGAAGATTTTTCACTGACCCGGCACAACAACGCAAGGCCTCCCCTTCGACTTTTCTTCCAAGCCCTTTGTGCGCAACACACACCCTCCCACTCCTCGATGACCGACCGATCGTGAAATATCCTCCTGCTGGCACCTTCCTGATGGCGGAAAATCACTCTAATAGGACGCTCTTCCAAGGGTTGTTCCTGACCTCCGCCATCCCGTTCCAAACCCCTTGACACGCAACACGTAAGTAGGAAAAATAATTATTTACCAGATAGAACTCCGCGAAGGATTATTTCCATCGGAAAAATTCACGATCAATATATTATTGAATTTAGAAAACAATTTTATCTCAACGGGATACAATGCACGTTTCTAATTATATTATATTATATAACGGATGTAAATGGAGTGATAGGTGAATAATGATAGTTTCGGATGCAAGATTTCATTCGTTCATATAGTAAATACGGAATTCCATCCGTGTGGAAAAGAAGAAACGTAACGTTGGGATTGTAGAATCCACGAATTCGCATAAAATTAGACGATGTTTCCAAAGAAGAGACGTGATTTCCTGCGTATGGCTGATACAATCTTCGTTTAAGTAGGACACGAAGATAGGAAAATGGGGTTAACTCGTGTATGTATATACATTTTACATGCTCGTTTGAACGTGGAATAGAAAATGAATCGAAAAATCTAGTAATACGATCTCTTTCTTTTTTATTGCAATCCTATTAAACGTTTGTTGCTAGTTAAATATAATTTTTCGAAAAAATAGAGGGGACAAGACCTAACGAGTTGTAAATAAAACACGCTCTTAAACACAATGACAATTGCAGGAAGGGATAAAAATCATTTCCTGTTGAGGAGGAATAATAATGTTGCATAGCTCGGCAATAGCAATAACGATTCTCGATCTATTTGTTTCTTTCGTTTTCCGCAATCCGCATAAACAGGCCGCTCAAACCCGCGGGAACTCGTCGAAAGCTCGTGCTCCTTCGGGAAGGATACCGGAAGAAGCGAATTTAAATACGACGTTGGCTCGTGAACGGCCAATTTCCACGGCAATTGTCACGAAGATGTTTCCTCCGTCTTTTCTCTATCGTTAGATATTAGATTTCATGAAGGAAGGAACGAATACGCTTATTGGAACTGCATTATTTATTTGTTTCCTTTGATCATTGGATTTTGTAAGGAGTTTTCGATTTTATCTTTCTTATGATATTTGGTTCATTGTTGCGTTAATTTTATTAGAGATGAGTTTAAATTTTGGGTGAGATGAGATTAATTTAGATTAATTTGAATAATCTTTTGAATAATCTTTTATTACAATCGGTGAAAAAATAATTCTTTCTTCCAACACTTTTTCGAAGAGAAAAACTGGAATCTCTTCGAATTATTCTCTTACGCCCCGTTAAAATATCGTCAAAAAAGTGAAGTTACAGAAAATACAGGGTTAAACAAGAGGAAAGTATTCGAAAGCATAAGGAAAACAAAAATAGAGAAAGGAAAGAAGAGAGGAAAGAGAATCAACAGCTTTGATCGTGAAGGAATAAGGTTTCATAGAGAAGGTCTTGTTTACCTGGTATCGATTTACCAAGATCGAGATACTCTCGTACTGATGGACTGAGGAATCCTGGAGGAACGACCGGTGCATCGTTCGTAGGATTGTTTCTTTCATCCACGTCCTCGTAATAATAGTCCTCGTTGTCGCGGTTGTCCTCGGCATCAGGGTCTATCGGCCTCGCCCTCTTCGACACTTTGCCACTTCCTGTATTTCGTACACCCTCTGAAACGCGAGTGATATTTCAAAATTAAAAAAATTGTTCAAAAATTATAGAATTTGTTTAATAATTACATTTAAAGTCTCCAATATACCATTGATAAAATCATCGTGAGTGAGCCAATATCCTCTTTCAAATCCTATTAAAATTAGAAAAACTTTGAGCCTCCATAACTCCGAAGATAATAACTTCCGGTGGACGAATGAACGATCGTTAGAAGCGCAGAATCTTGCTCTTTAAAATGCTTCTTCGTTTAGCCCGATACCACTTCCGGTTCCCAAAATATCATCGTGTAAAGAAAAGGATAATTTTTAATTGTTCGTTTCGTTCAAACCCACGCTTAAACTCTATTAAAATTGGAAAAACTTTGACCCGCTATAATTCCGAAGATAATAACTTCCGGTCGACGAGTGAACGATCGTTAGAAGCGCGGATTCTTCCCCTTTAAAATGCTTTTTCGTTTATCTCGATACGACTTCCGGTTGCCGAGATATCGTCGTGTAAAGGAAAAGGTAATTTTTTAATCGTTTACTTATCTTCGTCCTTGTTCCTTATTCGGATCTCTCGCTCGCACCCCGTCTCACTGACCTATCCCAAATTCCAGACAAGCGGCCAGACGCGATTCCTAGAAGGACGCAGTACACATTTACAGGAAAAATATGTAGGTCATTGACCCGACTCTGCACCGTGCCAAGCGCTGGACACTTTGAATCTTTATATCTCGGCAACCGATTGAGATATCGGGATAAATCAAAAAGCGATTTCAACGGCATTGTTTCCTCTATTTCCCGAATAGGTTTTGACGACAAAATTTCCAATTTCTTCTCACGTTTTTTTATATGAAAAACCAAAGTTTCATTTTAATCATTTTCTGTTACTGTTGTAATTTAGCTTTTTTTTTTTTCACATGAATAATTGAGCATGTTCCAACCATATAAAAATTCCCGATTAATATAATATTTGTCCTTACTCCAAACATACAATTATATTCGAAATAATTACTTTTTCGTAAAACTCCAGAAAAAAACAACACGAAACTTTTTTTCCACCCTTAACTTCGAATCGAAGACCTGCAAGACCAAACGAACCAAGATCATCCCACAAGTCTTTCTCGTTTCCTCCTCGATATTTCCCCCGGACTTGACCCAGTCTCGCCACCCACGAACAAAATAAAACGAATGAAAAGAGAAGTCGGCCATAATTCAACGTACGTCTCCCAAAGTTTTCCCTCGGACAAAGGAGGGTCCGTTGTCCGAACAAGAAGGAGACGAACAGAAGGGGTGGTTAAAGTTTCCACGATTATTATTACGGGTTTTCGGTGTTGCGGTTATATTCAACGGGTCGAGATTTCCACTTTATCGAGAGCATGGCGGAAACGCACACACGGAGAAAGTCTGCAAGCTAATTAATTTCAGCTTATATATATAGCGAGTTGTCGCCAAACATTTCGTACTGGCCGGGGTGATTGGTGGAATATTCAAAATTCCAAAATCGTTAGGAAAGGGTTTACTGCGTGTGCTCAATCGAACGGATCGAGTTTTAATAATCGAGGAAGGGAATTAACCAGATAGCTACTTCCTGAGTTTACAAGATGCAGAGTTACGAATCTCTGTTTCAAATCGATCTTGCTTCAAATCGTGGAGACTGAAAGAAAAATCTGGAGGACGTTTTTATGTAAAATTAATCTATCCAATTCTCTCGTATAAAATGGATCGTGCAAGAGAATGTGTGCAATTTCTAAGACTGAACAAAAACCTTAACCCTTTGCACCCGTATTTATATATTTATAAGAAGGTCACCAATCAATCAATCTATACTAATATAAATATACGTACAATAATAAAAGAATAGGATGACGGCTATATGGCGACAATTCTCCCTAAATATCGCGTATGAAAATAATCGAAACTATGAGAGAGAGAGAGAGAGAGAGAGAGCTACCTTGATCTTATCATCCATTCATCCATCCATCTCATCGAATAGCGCAACAGTATGAACCAGGCAAGTGTTTGTAAGTGTCTCGTTTGCCCCGTGCACGCGTTAATCCGTTGCATTTAGACGCATAAAGTTGAGCCTGGTCGGTGAGCCGTTAATTAGCTTGCGCGTCACGGACGCACCGGTATCAAATGGGATGAACAACGGTGGATCGTATCCACCTTTCCTCGCCAAGTAACACGTACACGGCAGATTCGAGCGATACACCGTATAATACGGATGAAAGAGAGGGGGAGGAGAGAGAGAGAGAGAGGGAAGAATTCCAGATTCAAAACTGCGGTGGATGTATGTTGGTGCACGTTTCGGCCAGCTGTCAACGGAATTTGAAATATTTCGAGAATTGGCCACGGCGTTTCCCTTGCGCGCGACGCGGTTTCGAGGGGGATGATTATGTTAACTCGGTTGTATACGGTTAACTTTAGTCGCGTTGTTATTCGTGTATATGTTATTCGTGCGGTACAGTTGTGCGGTCGGTTGCGTGGTTGTCGTGCATCCGTGGAACAGTATCCGAATGCTTTGGTAATTGGCGAGAGGAATTGAACATTCCCTTGAATTTCCCCTGGAATCTTTTTTTTTTATTTTTTTGTTGGAGCAGATTTCGATTAATTACGATAAGGATTGAAGGATTCTGATCATCCTGTTCCGATGAATAATTTTATTTTATTTTTCGGTTTGCATCGGATGAATTTTGAAACGGATTTTATTCTTAATCCTTTTGCACTCGTATATTTATATTTAAGAAGGTTATCGATCAAGTAACAAGAGATCCTAGAATGTAATTATATTATATTTGCTAATTTAAATAATAATAAAATGTAGGCGACATACGAATACAAAGATGTATTCAATATTCAAGTTTGGAATAAGTAAGGGATTGTTTGATGAGTTAATTGTGAGTAAAGAGATATCGCGTTGGTGTAAAGATCTTGTCCTGGCATGTATTCGTAATATATTCAAGTTCAGATTGGGATTTTGAATTCGATATAGCATCGATCAACGTTAGAGATGCTTAGAGATCAAAATTTCGTCCCTTCTCCCCTCAAAAAAAAAAAAAAAATTACTCGGGGCAGATTCGGTGAACAACGAGGCCCGAAACAGAGGTTTCAACTCGGCCCCTCGATTGTTTCCTTTTTCATTGTTGTTTGCTCGCCACTAGCCGACAATTGATAGGCAACCGAAAACATTCCACTCTGTCCAATTCCAGGCCAGCTCCGCATTCCCAAAGTAAGCCCGGGAAACAGTCGCTTGTTTCTTTGTTAATTAACGACCGTTTAATTACCCGGGCTGAAATTGGCCGGCCGTCACCGCCGCCGGGGCGGCGGTTGAACGATGACTCGTAAATTTGTTCAATTCTTCTTTTTTTTTTTTTTTTTCCTTTCGTTTCCACCCTCATAACGTCATGATAATTAGGCCAGCCGGTGGAAAATAATTAACGAATCGTCGATTGTTAATTTGAACTTGGTATAAACGACGGTAATGTAATGTAACTCGACACCGTTTTGAAAATTCGATAATGAATCGATCTCTCTTTCCTTTCGATATTAAATAACCCCTTTTCTCTTTTTAATCGAAATTACACATCGATACGATCTTATCACGAATTTAAAAGGAAAAGACTCGTAGCCAATTCATTTCAAATCCGAAACATTTCCTGTTTTTTCTTCTTTGACCTTTCCCTCAATTTCAAAGACCGATATCCCGAGGCGGCGCTCGATCGACCGATCGATCGATCGTTTGTTATTACACGCGAACCGCGTTAATTTAGTTGCGGAGGGAGGGGCTAACGTGAGGTATACTTTCGCCCGTGGAAACGAAACACATTGATAATTATTTGATATTCGCTTGGCTGCCGAATAATTACACCTGTTTGTCCGCGGCATTTAATACAGCAAGTATTATTCGATTCCAGGCCCGCTTATCCGCGCGTGTTTTATGAATAAAACGATCCCAACCGAGTTAAAAACTGTCCTCGATCGAAGGAAGGAGAAAATAGTTGAATTCGAGTTTTGGAATGCGCACGTGGTTTGATAATTAGTTAGACAAACCATGGAATATATATTTTTTAATCGCTTTGGTCTTCTCGATATCTTCCTTTCGAAGGATACTATTATATCAAAGAGGAAAACTTGTCCTACAACAACGAGCGAGATGAGAAATTTGGGGCAAAAATTATAAGCCAAACGACACGAGGCTGGAAGCCTATTCGAACTTCTCGTTTATCGTGGCTCGATATAATCGGGAGCAAGGGATTAAGTTTGCGTTATAAAACAAGCGGGGAAGTGAATACACTCGTTCATCTTTGATTCCTCTATTGTCCCCTCGTACGTGTCCTCCTCTCTAACATCGTTTCAAAAGTCGGTGTAAAAACTTGGGAAACGAACCCGCGAGAGGAGATACCCATCGCGTTTCTTGGAGCAACCTCGCTCCCCCCTCCCCTCCTCTTTCCCTTTCACCCCTCCGTCCGGATTAAAACTCTTATTGTACGTTGGGGAGGAGGGGGTGCAGCACGCGTGTGCAGCACGGGTTAAAATTCGAAGCTGACTCCGCTAAAAGACGTCTCTCGCCGTCCTGGTGAGGAAAACCTGGTGACTCGAGAAAGAAGATTTTTCGAGAAGAAACTCCGGGCGGAAGTTGGTTCCGTCCGTGAAGAAAGGATGTGGCGGAAGAGAGGGGGGAGGGAAGGGAAAAATGTGCATGAGTCATAAGGAGGGAAGAGAGAGAGAGAGGGGAGAAAATCGAGAGAAATAATGACGAGCGGTGAAACGAAGGAGAATGGACGATAATCTGGAGGAAAAGAGTTTGAAAAAAGGAGGATGAAAAATTTTTGCGGAAAAAGCAGCCAGCCCTCCGCAGAGGATGAAACGTGAGACACAGCTTTCTCTAAGGCTAGCTCTCTGTTCTCTGTTTCATCCTTTTATTTTATTTTATTTTTTTTTTCTTTTCTTTTCTTTTCTTTCGATACCGTTGAAATATTACCTCCTCCTAGATTACTTCTATCTCCTCCGATCAA